GCCCAGCGTGAGTGGCCCCGCCCCCAGGCACCCGGGAGCCTCTATAGGTTGGGGACCACTGGAGTAGATGGTTCAAATACTTACAACGGGCTGATAAGAACAATTAGCACCTCCATTATTTGGTAGTTTAAATCATAGGATGTGAAAGGTAATGTGCGAACCAGCCCATGTCCTTGTTCATACCATTTGCATAAGAATTAAACTTGTAAATGAAGTTAAGTTCCAGTTAACTGCTCTTGTTTGTTACTGCTGGGCCCTCCTAGGGGACTTCATGACATCTCTCTTCTCTGCAGTGAGTCTTTACACCTCCATTTTTGGGGTGTTGCAGCTGCTCTGCCTGATGACTGCCCCTCTGATTGGCTACATCATGGACTGGAAGCTGAAGGAATGTGACGATGGTCCAGAAGAGGCAGATGAGAGTGACGTTAATCCGTACGTAGCACATTGCAGGGTCCAAGCTAGATATCGGTAATGGCTCCAATTAAATGAACCTGTCTAATCCTGTTGTAAATTGAGGAGTATGAATTCTCAATTTACAGGGATTTGCACCAATTTAACTAAATTGTCATAATCTATTTTAGTTAAATGGTGCAACTTCTCTTGTAGATGGGCCGGAGTCTCAAATACAGGCCAAGACTCAGATATGCCAGTTTGGGAATTCTGGTTTCTTTTCTTCTAACTTCTCGAGTCCCTAGTTGTGGGTTCCAGTCGCTGCTATGCTGCCTGTGTGAGCTATTCCTTGCTTTTCCTCCAGAGATGGTAAGAAGAAGAAAAAACGTGATCGCCAGATTCAGAAGATTTCAAATGCCACAAGAGCGTTTGTGTTCACCAACCTGCTACTAGTTGGATTTGGAATTACCTGTCTTGTTCCTAACCTGCCTTTGCAGGTGAGTATTTCACAAATGGAGTGGTTCTGGAGGGTGAATGGTTCTGGATAAGCAAGAATGTCTTGGGTTGGCCTTATTCTTGATGACAGACTGGGTCTTCCTTGGCCCTGCCCCAGGTCGTGGCCAGACTCCCCATCCCATGGCTTTACCTCACGGTGGTGGGAAGGAGGGAGGGAGGACTTGCTTTTTTCCCATGGAGCCAGGATGCAGCATTTGCCACCATACTGAAAAATCATGAGTCAGACTCAAAAACCTGCAGGCAAAGAAACAGGCCCCCGTGTTTACTGCTTAGAACTCTGCTTTCAGCCACTTGTCCGGCTCTTTTTGTTAACCACAGACACTGGGGACTCTACAGGTGGGACTCCCCATAGCCCTCTGCGGCCAGAAGCTGGAGGTCTAGGAAGATGCTAGATGTCCCAAGATGGGACTCAAATCACTGGTGTTGGCAATACTGAAATGTGGGCTAATGGCAGAGCTGCATCTCCCAGTGCAGCCCTCTGCCGGGCTAGCTTGGCAGGGTCCCCCAGAGCAGCGAGTTTGAGCGGATCCAGTTAAATGGATGGGGGCAGCTAAGAGGGTTGTTCCAGCAGGTGCTCTGCAGGCTCAGGCAGATGTGAGTTGCTCTGCACAGTGTTCATGTTTTCAGGCCTTTCTTTGCAAGTCTATGGACTACACACACATTGATCTAAAATAAACAAGGCCTCGAGCACCACCTCTGTCAATGGTGCCTCTGTTAATCCAGGCCTGGGCTACGGACAAGCCAGGGGGTCCTGGAAAATATGTAAAGCAGCACATGGTAGCTGCACAGACGCCAGCCACAGTTCGAGTTGTGGGCCAGATGTCCTCAGCGACATCCTGTGGACTCAGTAGGGTTCTACATATGTGGGGTATGCACCTGGCAGAGGCATGAAACATCAGGGGTAGATCTTGGTGACCTCTCAAGTTCCCATCTGCCCTACATTTCTATAGCCCAGAATGCACTGGGAGGTGCCAGCTGCTCTCCTCCCTCACCCCTCTGCACGCACGGAATGGTTTTGATTTCTCTTGATGCCATTAGAGGATCAAGTTGGAAGTGAGTCAGTAAGCCTAGGAGAGAGCTGGCCTGCAGGCCTGTCTGCTCTTCGACCTTTCCAGTGCTCTCGTCCCTGTTGCAGACACAGACGAGAGTGGGATATACTCCTGGGCAGAAAGGGGAGCAAGTTCCAGTCAGAGTTAGGAATTTGGGGTGAAGGCCTCCTAAGGCACGAACAGGATATTATGACCAGAAGGTGAGCTGCATGGGATCCTGTTAGTGTCAGGGAGAAGGTTCTGACCACTGAAAGGTAGAGGGGGAGAGTGAGGGATTGTACTTTTAGGGCAGGGGTACCTGGCATGATCTAAAGCCTCCCGGAGTAAGTAGGATCAGGTCCAGGTTAGCTAGCTAGATCTGAGTAATCCAGGGGTGGGAAAATGCAGCCCATGGACTGGATGTAGCCTGCCAACGCCAGCCCACACTGCCGGAGGCAGGCTCCCTGTCTTCCACACCTCTGGATGCTACTACAAGTGGTTGGCTACAGGGGCCATGTGCTCTGCACGGTGCATGCCCCTTGGGGGAGGGCTTCATATGCTGTCCCCTCTCCCGGGTTCCATTAGCCAGGAACCAGCCACTGGGAGCTGCCTGGGCTGTGCTTATTGCATAGGCTGCATGCGATGCCTGCTCCCCCTTAGGTGCACATGATGCGCTGAGAACACATGGTCCCCACAACCAGCTTTGAGCAGCATGTGGGAGCACAGCAGGCAGGAAACCTGCCCGAGGCTCCTGCTGAGCTACTGGCCAGTATTGGCCTAGGCAAGGACCTCCCAGCCAGAGCCTGCACCTGGAACTTCAGCCCCTTCTTCCCCCAATCCTCTGCTCCATCTCCTACACCCCTGCCCCACATAACCCAAATTCCCTGCCCCAGGTCACAACATGCTCTCAGACCCTGCACCCCTCCTTTCGGTCATAACCCTTTCCTGCATCCAAATCCTCTACCCCGAGCTCCCTTCTGCACCTAACCTCCATCCTGCACCTCCTCCATTAATATCATGGACAAGTGTGGCCTTTGAGCACTTACCAAATTCTTGGACTGGCCCCCTGATAAAAAATTACTGCCCACCCCGGTGCAGTCCAGATGCTCCTGTTGTGTGGAGCCTTTGAGAGAGAGAGTGCTCTTCGGCTGCAATTGTTGTCAACATTTGGCTGACGCATAACAATTGTCAAGAGGAAAAAGACAAGTCTGAGTCAGCAAATGCCACCATCCCAGATCTCTCCTCCCCTGTGCTGATCTGAGTGGGTGAGGGACTTTGTTTTGGGAGCTGCTTAGGTCTATCCTGGGACTGGAGGAGCAGCAGCTGCAGTGTGGAGGGGTGGCTTTGGACTGCTGCTCAGCACAGTTTCTGCCTCTTTCAGATCCTTTCATTCATTTTGCACACAATTGTGAGAGGATTCATCCATTCGGCAGTGGGAGGCCTCTATGCAGCTGTGTAAGTCTAACCTGGCTCATCTAGCATGTGACTGGCTTGGGGGTTTGGTTACCCAAACAATCAGAGTGGAAGGGATACATGATGGTGAGACCCTGCAGTCCTAGGTAACAATTGAGTGCACTTACGGCTTACTTGGGTCACCATGGGACTTGGCAGCAATACTGGAGTGTCCCAGGTAATTGCATGTGCCTAATGTGGACCTGCAGTAAGTAACTACAGTGAAACAAGCACAGATATGCCTTATGTGGACTTCAGGTGCAATTTGTTTAGCCCTCCTAAACTGGCTTCACCCTCATGTGAGTTAAAAAGCTTGAGATCTTTAGTTAATTCATCCTAATTGTGAGTAGATACGTATCTTGTCAGGGCATGCTGACTCCCGGAGCACACAGAAATCATAGAATTGGAAGAGACCTCAGAAGGTCATCAAGTCCAGCCCCCTGGACCAATCTCAACTAAATCAACCCGGCCAGGGCTTTGTCAAGCCGAGACTTAAACACCTCTAGGGATGGAGACTCCACTACTTCCCTAGGTAACCCATTCCAGTGCTTCACCACTCTCCTAGTGAAATAGTTTTTCCTAATATCCAACCTGGACCTCTCCCACCACAACTTGAGAAGCTCAGTAGGATGTTAAGTATCTCAGTTGGCATCCAGGGAGTCATAAACCATCACACTCATTTTATCCATTTTTACCTCCTTAATGTCCTCTCTTTCCACAAACTATCATATTCCTATTTCCCTCATCATCTCAGCATGAGGTATCTCTTCCCAAGTGCAATGTGCCTGGTGGGAGATATGATCTCCCTCACTTCCCACAACTTTTCATGGTATTCTAGATGTTCTTTTTTACCATGGATGGAAGGCTATTGCTTTTTCAGGTACAGCCCCTAACTCTAGGCAGTTGCACTACTACGACTCTCAGCAGCTTTCTTGCTCCATAAATCTGACCATTTTCCAACAAAATTCAATACTATGTATTATTCACACTTGGGGGGGGGTTTCTCCCTCCTTCCTGGCTCTTCTTGGACTGGAGGTCCCTGCAGGGGCTTTCTACCTCCCCCCTCCGAGGGTGGAGGGGTGGCAGGGGCTTTCTCCCTCTCCTCCCCTCCTCCCATGGTGAGGAGGCCATGGGAGCTTTCTCTCCCCCCATGGCAGGGGAGCCATTGAGAGCTTTCATCCTCCTCCTGGTGGGAGGGGGAGGGAGAGATGTGTGGCAGGCAGGCCCTATCAGGGCAGGGTCAGGACAGCCATTTGGCCCAGGGTCTCAGGAGACTGAGGGTACGTCTACACTAGCTCATTAGTTCAAGCTAGGTAGGTTAATAAAGGCAAGCAGAGTTGCAAATGAAGCCCGGGATATTTAAATATCCTGGGCTTCATTTGCATGTTTCCGGGCACTGCCATTTTTAAATCCCCCTTAGTCCAAACTCCGTGCCCACGGCTACACGCGGCACGGTGTAGGTAGTTTGAATTAGGATCTTTAATTCCACGAGGAGTAACGGTAGTTCGAATTAGGATCGAATTAGGCGTGTAGCCGCGGGCACAGAGTTCGGAGTAAGGGGGATTTAAAAATGGCAGCGCTCGGGAACATGCAAATGAAGCCCAGGATATTTAAATCCCGGGCTTCATTTGCAACTCCGCTTGCCCTAATTACCCTACCTAGCTCAAACTTACGAGATAGAGTAGACATACCCAAAGGGACCTCAAATTTTGACATTTTTCTACAAAGTTATTTTTATGTATTATATAGCTTGCAGTTATAGTAGGGAAAACAACAGAAGGGTATGTCTACACTACCACCCTAGTTCGAACTAGGGTGGTTAATGTAGGCAACCGGAGTTGCAAATGAAGCCCGGGATTTGAATTTCCCGGGCTTCATTTGCATATTGCTGGGCACTGCCATTTTTAAATGTCCGCTAGTTCGGACTCCTTGTTCCACGAGGAGTAACGGTAGTTCGGAATAGGAAGCCTAATCCGAACTACCTAGTTCGAGCCGCGTCTGGCCGCGGGCACGGAGTCTGAACTAGTGGACATTTAAAAATGGCGGCGCCCGGCTTTATGCAAATGAAGCCCGGGAAATTCAAATCCTGGGCTTCATTTGCAACTCCGGTTGCCTACATTACCACCCTAGTTCGAACTAGGGTGGTAGTGTAAACATACCCAGAGTGATTAAAGTCCTCCACGAGAACCTGGGCCTGCGATCTGGAAGCTTCGCTCAGTTGTCTGAAGAAAGCCTCATCTACCTCATCCACCTGATACGGTGGCCTGTAGCAGACACCAACCACAACATCACTGCTGTTGTTTGCTCCTTTAAACTTAACCCATAGACTTTCAACAGGTTTTTCTCCCTCTTTATACTGGAGTTCAGAGCAATCGTAGTGCTCTCTTACATATAGTGCAACTCCTCCT